CAGAGCTTTTGTGTACAGCTTTTTGAAGTTTGCAATGACCTGCTGGTCCATGGGCTGCAGGAGAGGAGTGGTATTAGGAGGCAAAAACTTGACCTTAATGAAGCTCATGTCCCCACAAAGTCGCTCTGCCAAGTCTGTAGGATGACCAGGGGCATTGTCTAACACAGGAGGCACTTAAGGTCTAATTTATTTTCAATTAGGTAATTTTTTACAGTGGGGGCAAATGCATGGTGTAACCAGTCATAGAAAAAGTTCCTAGTGACCCATGCCTTACTGTTTGCCCTCCACAGCACACACAAATTAGCCTTGAGGATATTCTTTTGCCTGAACGCTCTGGGAGTTTCAGAATGATACACCACTAAAGGCTCCACTTTGCAATCACCACTAGCATTGGCACACATTAACAGAGTAAACCTGTCTTTCATAGGCTTATGTCCTGGGAGTGCCTTTTCCTCCTGAGTAATGTAGGTCCTGCTTGGCATTTTCTTCCAAAACAGGCCTGTTTCGTCACAATTAAGCACTTGTTCAGGTTTCAGTCCTTCACTGTCTGTGCTCCTTGAATTCATGCACATATTTTTCAGCTGCTTTGTGGTCCGAACTGGCAGCCTCACCATGCCTTATCACACTATGTATGCCACTACGCTTCTTAAATCTCTCAAACCAACCTTTGCTGGCCTTAAATTCACTCGCATCATCACTAGTTGCAGGCATTTTTCTAATTAAATCCTCATGCAACTTCCTAGCCTTTTCACTTATGATTGCTTGAGAGATGCTCTCTCCTGCTATGTTTTTTGTTTATCCACACCAATAACAGTCTCTCAACATCTTCTATCACTTGTGATCTCTGTTTCAAAAACAAAGTTGCACCTTTGTCAAGAACAGCTTCCTTGATTGCCGTTTTCTTGGACACATTAGTAGCAATGGTTGATTGGGGTTTGCTATACAACCTGGCCAGCTCGGAGATATGCACTCCACTTTCATACTTAGCAATGATCTCTTTCTTCATATCCATAGTAATTCTCACCCTTATTCCTGTAGGGTTGGCACTAGAAGCTTTATTGGGGCCCATGGTCACTTATTTTGCAGGTGAAATCACTAAAAACGCTGTAATAATACGAAATGTTCCGATTGTATGCTTGGATGTTACCGCGGAGGCTGGCTTGTAAATAATGCCACCGGCGGAACAAGTGAGGCTGGCTCAGGCCGCACATGGATGTGTCTCGGACGAATCGCGTTGAGCAAGTTTTTTAGCGCTAGGCAAGGCAAATTTTTAGCGATAAAATGTATCGCTAGGCGGATTTAACATTATGTGATGCCAGCGTTAGGCGGGGTCCACTGTATTAGTGTCAGAACAAAGATTGGCTATGAAATTACAAGAACTATTATAAATTGTAATTTTTTTTTTCTCGACAAACTGGCCATATCCCACCAAGGCAGGGTGGCTCAAAAAGAAAAACTAAAGTTTTCCTTCTAAATTTAGTAATTTGTACAGGACCTAGGTAGTAGGTTGGTAAACAGCAACCGCCCAGGGAGGTACTACCGTCCTGCCAAGTGAGTGTAATACGGAAACTTGTAATTGTTTTACATGATGGTAGGATTGCTGGTGTCCATTTTTCTGTCTCATAAACATGCAAGGTTTCAGGTACATCTTGCTACTTCTACTTACACTTAGGTCACACTACACATACATGTACAAGCATATATGTATATACACACCCCTCTGGGTATTCTTCCATTTTTCTTACTAGTTCTTGTTCTTGTTTATTTCCTCTTACCTCCATGGGGAAGTGGAACAGAATTCTTCCTCCGTAAGCCATGCGTGTTGTAAGAGGTGACTAAAATGCTGGGAGCAAGGGGCTAGTAACCTCTTCTCCTGTATATATTACTAAATGTAAAAGGAGAAACTTTCATTTTTCCTTTTGGGCCACTCCGTCTCGGTGGGATACGGCCGGTATGTTGAAAGAAGAAAGAAGAATTTGTACAGGAGAAGGGGTTACTAGCCCCTTGCTCCCAGCATTTTAGTCACCTCTTACAACACACATGGCTTATAGAGGAAGAATTCTGGTCCACTTCCCCATGGAGATAAGAGGAAATAAACAAGAACAAGTACTAGAAAGAAAATAGAAGAAAACCCAGAATGATGTGTATATATATGCTTGTATACGTGTATGTGTAAGTGTGACCTAAGTGTAAGTAGAAGTAGCAAGACACCTGAAATCTTGCTTTTTTTTTTTTTTTTTTTTTTTTTTTTTACCTCTCCAACAAACCGGCCGTATCCCACCAAGGCAGAGTGGCCCAAAAAGAAAAACGAAAGTGCATGTTTATGAGACAGAAAAAAGACACCAGCAATCCTACCATCACATAAAACAATTATAGGCTTCCTGACAAGCTGTTGAAGTGTGAGCAGGATATTATTTTGTGAAGGGATTCAGGGAAACCAGTTAGCGGGACTTGAGTCCTGGAAATGGGAAATACAATGCCTGCACTTTAACCCTTTCACTGTCGGTCCCATAATACATGTATCAAGGCTTGCAAGCCAGTGTTGGTCCCGTAATAGTACACCAAAATTCTAGTGGCTTCAGATCTTGTGGGAGAAAGCTGGTGGGCCTACATATGAGAGAATGGGTCTGAGTGGTCAGTGTGTGCAGCATAAAAAAAAAATCCTGCAGCACGCAGTGCATAATGAGAAAAAAAACTGTGTTTTTCGTTTAAAATAGCGAATTTGCAGTGTGTTTTCGTATGGTATTTATGGTCTCATTTGATAGAATGAACGATATTACAGAACTAGAGATGATTTTAAATGGTTTATGGACTAAAAGTACGTGTACCTCGAAAATGAGCTCAAAGTAGCGGAAATGTTCGAGTTTTACAGATGTTCAAGAGTTAACAAATCATGTCACGTGTCCAATACATGTCAACTGGTGGGTCTGATATGCTTTCACAAATGTGCTGATATTATTTATATCATTTTTACAGTAATGCAGTAGTGTGCATAACAGTAAATCTTCTATAATTTTTGTGTGAATAAAAATTCAAAATGGAAAGCAAGCATAATATAAGAGGGGCCTGGAGACATGACTAATGAACAGAGAAAATGTTATTTTAGTGCTAGGAATGTTTGCATTGTTAATTCTGGACCCTGTTTTGAAATTGGCCTTCCTTGAATTGTGTATGAAATTGGCCAAATGACCAATATCTGATCACTGTTGGGTAGTTGAAATCAGTAAATGGGGGCAGTTTCTTGTACTCAGTCGAGAGAACAAAAGGAGTTCTAGTGAAAGAGCTATGAGTGTAGGTGACTGGAACATTGGAATTGGCCAAAAATAGGGCTTAAAGTGGGCAAAATCACTGATGCTTAAATATTGTCGAGACTGCTATCTTCACAAGAGCTTAGTTTTTAGAGTTTTTCATCAAATTTCATACTTTTGGTGTCATTACCATTGGGAAAAATATTCTCTATCATTTTATAAGATTTTTTTTTTCTTTTCTTTAAATTCTTCAACACTGAGAGCAAGTTTGTGATCAGGGGTCTCAGTGAAAGGGTTAAAGGAGACTGATTATGTATGAGTGATGGTGAAAGTGTTGAATGACAGTTAGTTTTTTCTGTTCTTTCTTTTTGGGTCACCCTGCCTTGGTGGGAAACAGCCGATGTGTTAAAAAAAATATATATTTGTTGTGCTGAATAGGTAAAACTTGCAATTTTGGCTTAAATAGCAATGCACTTCTTGCTGAATAAGGCAAGTGAACATTTGTGAATACAATAATGTTGCAAAAATCATTCTGAACCTAACGAAAAAATATATTTCATTGTTTATTATTAAATTATTGTAAACTTACATCAAGTATATTTGCAGTGGACCCTCGGTTATCGGCCATTCCAGGTATCGGCCAATTCGGTTTTCGCCCACTATTTTGGCCGAAATTCTGTCCCAATTATCAGCCCTTATTTCGCAGATCGTCAGTATTGGACGCTTAATAAATCACTCTTGAGCACATTAAATGTCTTATTTTAGGTTAATAGACATTTTCATTAATCCATCTATGATATTTTCTTCAAAATTATATAAGAAACACATTACATAGTATATAAAAACATGCAGTGTTTATATGCGATGAAAGTTGAATAACAATCACTCTTGGGCACATTGTCGTATTTTAGGTTAATATAGACATTTACAATAATCCATCTATAATATTTTCTTCAAAATTATACAAGAAACACTTTACATATCCTATAGCATATAAACATAGCATATAAACATGCAGTGTCTATATGCTATCGAGTGGAGTCAGGTGGAGGGTAAACATTGTGTTTTCTTTGATTCAGCATTAGAGAAAACTGTGAATCTGGTGTCTTGCCCAGTAACTGCCCTTCATACGTGTTTGTTTACAATTCTTGGCATGAATTATTTATTGGAGACAGGAAAAATAAAATGTAGATCTATGTTTGGAGTGCTAGCGGTACAAACGTAGATCTCCGTTTGGACAGTTTAAGGGTTAACTGAGTTCTTGCTAAATGACCAGTTTTGCCCATTCGCCATGACATATATAGTATATCAAATCATTTTTAAACTAATTCTCCAAATCATAATACACAACTTGGGAAGTTTTTAAAATTGTGTTGTTATGATTTCACAAGTCACTGATAGAAGTACTTGAGCTATATTTAATCACAGCTACATTAGTGAGAGATTCATCCATAAAAATCTGCACATGTGGTCACTGGTTTCTTATGTTGACCTACCTAGTGTATAGACATGTACCTGGTTGGATATATGTTCTTAGGCTGGCATGGCACAGTATCTTGGTAATTTTAAGACTGTTGTACCACAGATCACATCTTGCATCCTCCTGGAGTTGGTTTTTATATCAAAGCTTTCTTTTCCAGGAGATTTGGAACAAATAGAAGTAATTTGTGTGTATGTATTGCTTAATCTTAATTTGTAAAAGAAAATAATATAGCTTTTCTAATTTACTTTACTTTTATTTGCACTGCCTAGACAAAGACGAGTGTGCAACAGATAATGGTGGCTGCCAACACATCTGTAAGAACACCATCGGCTCCTATGTTTGTTCTTGTTCGAACGGCTTCACGCTGCATGAGAATGGTCATGACTGCAAGGAAGGAGGATGTAAACATGAAATTACTGCTCCAGTTGGGGAAATCTTCAGTCCAAACTATCCAGACTACTACCCTAGTCGGAAGGATTGTGTATGGCAGTTTACTACAACTCCTGGACATAGAATCAAATTGGTTTGTGATGTTTCTTTCAATAATCCTGTTAGCAAAAAATTTTTTATCGCTACTATCTCATTTATTTTCGTAAAAGAAGGAAGTTAAAAGTGAATAGAGGAAAGAGTAAGGTGATGAGGATAACAAAAAAATTAGGTAACAGAACATTGGATATGAGATTGGAGATAGAGAGTATGGAGGAAGCAAATGTGTTCAGATTTCTGGTAGTGGACGTGTCAGCAGATGGGTCTATGAAGGATGAGGTGAATCATAGAATTGACAAGGGGAAAAAGGCGAGTGGTGCACTTAGGAGTCTGTGGAGACAGAGTTTTATCCATGAAAGCAAAGAGGGGAATGTATGAGAGTATAGTTATACCAACTCTTTTGTATGGGTGTGAGGCATGGGTTGTGAATATTGCAACAAGGAGAAGGCTGGAGGCAGTGGAGATGTCATGTCTGAGGGCATTGTGTGGTGTGAATATAATGCAGAGAATCTGTAGTTTGGAGATCAGGAGGTGTGGGATTACCAAAACTATTATCCAGAGGGCTGAGGAGTGATTATTGAGATGGTTTGGACATGTAGAGAGGATGGAATGAAATAGTGACTTTGAGAGTATACAAATCTGTAGTGGAGGGAAGGCGGGGTAGGGGTTGGCCTACGAAAGGTTGGAGGGAGAGGGTAAAGGAGGTTTTGTGTGCGAGGAGCTTGGACTTCCAGCAAGCGTGCGTGAGCGTGTTACACAGGAGTGAATGGAGACAAATGGTTTTAAGGACTTGATGTGCTGTTGGAGTGTGAGCGAAGTAACATTTATGAAGGGATTCAGGGAAATCGGCAGGCCGGACTTGAGTCCTGGAGATGGGAAGTACAGTGTCTGCACTCTGGAGAAGGGGTGTTAATGTTGCAGTTTTATAACTGTAGTATAGGCATGCCTCTGGCAAGACAGTGATGAAGTGAACGATGATGAAAGATTTTCTTTTTCAGGCCACCCTGCTTTGGTGGGAGGCAGCCAATATGTTAATAAAAAAAAATAAGAAAACTCTCATTATTTTTATTAAGACTGAAGATAAATTACTTTAGTTATATTTGAGGTAATATCAGTCTCATTTAGTATCTTTATTTTTTCTAGAGAGCATCTGTAGGAAGATAGCTGGTTTTGTATGCATATTTAGTAGATAATCAGTCACTCCCTAGTCTTGTTGGAGAAGCAACCTCTTAGCTTAGGTCATCAAAAAAGTTTATTTCATGTTTAGAGTTGACTTATGCTTTATTTAGTTTTAAACCCTTTGTATTTGTGGAACATCGTTATAAGGTGTAGTCTTTTAAATAATACCATACTATGAATATTAGATATGGCAGAGAGCATGTATAGTCCCTTTATATAAAGGGAAAGGGGACAAAAGAGACTGTAAAAATTATAGAGGAATAAGCTTACTGAGTATACCAGGAAAAGTGTACGGTAGGGTTATAATTGAAAGAATTAGAGGTAAGACAGAATGTAGGATTGCGGATGAGCAAGGAGGTTTTAGAGTGGGTAGGGGATGTGTAGATCAGGTGTTTACATTGAAGCATATATGTGAACAGTATTTAGATAAAGATAGGGAAGTTTTTATTGCATTTATGGATTTAAAAAAAGGCATATGATAGAGTGGATAGAGGAGCAATGTGGCAGATGTTGCAAGTATAGGGAAATTTAGGTGGTAAGTTATTAAATGCTGTAAAGAGTTTTTATGAGGATAGTGAGGCTCAGGTTTTAGGGTGTGTAGAAGAGAGGGAGACTATTTCCCCGTAAAAGTAGGTTTGGGACAGGGATGTGTAATGTCACCATGGTTGTTTAATATATTTATAGATGGGGTTGTAAAGGAAGTAAATGCTAGGGTGTTTGGGAGAGGGGTGGGATTAAATTATGGGGAATCAAATTCAAAATGGGAATTGACACAGTTACTTTTTGCTGATGATACTGTGCTTATGGGAGATTCTAAAGAAAAATTGCAAAGGTTAGTGGATGAGTTTGGGAATGTGTGTTAAAAGGGAGAAAGTTGAAAGTGAACATAGAAAAGGTAAGGTGATGAGGGTGTCAAATGATTTAGATAAAGAAAAATTGGATATCAAATTGGGGAGGAGGAGTATGGGAAAAAGTGAATGTTTTCAGATACTTGGGAAGTTGACGTGTCGGCGGATGGATTTATGAAGGATGAGGTTAATCATAGAATTGATGAGGGAAAAAAGGTGAGTGGTGCGTTGAGGTATATGTGGAGTCAAAAAACGTTATCTATGGAGGCAAAGAGGGAATGTATGAAAGTATAGTAGTACCAACACTCTTATATGGGGGTGAAGCTTGGGTGGTAAAAGCAGCAGCGAGGGAGACGGTTGGAGGCCCGGGAGATGTCCTGTTTAAGGGCAATGTGTGGTGTAAATATTATGCAGAAAATTCGGAGTGTGGAAATTAGGAGAAGGTGTGGAGTTATTTAAAAATATTAGTCAGAGGGCAGAAGAGGGGTTGTTGAGGGGGTTTGGTCATTTAGAGAGAATGGATCACAGTAGAAGACATGGAAAGCATATAAATCTATAGGGGAAGGAAGGCGGGGTGGGGTCGTCCTCGAAAGGGTTGGAGAGAGGGGGTAAAGGAGGGTTTTGTGGGTAAGGGGCTTTGGACTTCCAGCAAGCGTGCGTGAGCGTGTTAGTAGGAGTGAATGGAGACGAATGGTACTTGGGACCTGACGATCTGTTGGAGTGTGAGCAGGGTAATATTTAGTGAAGGGATTCAGGGAAACCGGTTATTTTCATATAGTCGGACTTGAGTCCTGGAAATGGGAAGTACAATGCCTGCACTTTAAAGGAGGGGTTTGGGATATTGGCAGTTTGGAGGGATATGTTGTGTATCTTTATATGTTTATGCTTCTAGACTGTTGTATTCTGAGCACCTCTGCAAAAACAGTGATAATGTGCGAGTGTGGTGAAAGTGTTGAATGATGATGAAAGTATTTTCTTTTTGGGGATTTTCTTTCTTTTTTGGGTCACCCTGCCTCGGTGGGAGACGGCCGACTTGTTGAAAAAAAAAAAAAAAAAAAAAAAAAAATGATTCGATGTACTTAAAATACAGTGTAGGTATAAAGTATCAGAGCTGAAATTCATTCATTGTTCATATGTTAACCCTTTGACTGTTTCGGTCGTATATATACGTCTTACGAGGTACCGTGTTTGACGTATATATACTCATAAATTTTAGCGGCTTCAAATCAAGCAGGAGAAAGCTGGTAGGCCCAAATGTGAGAGAATGGGCCTGTGTGGTCAGTGTGCACCATATAAAAAAAAATCCTGGAGCACGCAGTGCATAATGAGAAAAAAAAAATCCGACCTTTTTTTTTTTTTAATTAAAATGCCAAATTTGTGGTTTATTTTCGTATAGTATTTATGGTTGTATTCTCGTTTTCTTGGTCTCATTTGATAGAATGGAAAACATATTATAGAAATAAAGGTGATTTTGATTGATTTTCCTATAAAAAGAACCTGGAAATGGAGCTCTAAGTAGGGGAAATGTTTGATTTTTGCCATTGTTCAAAAGTAAACAAATGTCATTGTCCAATAAATGTCCAACTAGCCATTCTAATATGCAGTCATGAATGGGTTGATGTTATTTATACAATTATTACAGTATTGCAGTAGTCTGCATAACAGTAAATCTTCTATTTTTTGTTTGAATAAAAATTCAAAATAGAAAGCAAGAGTAATATCAGAGGGGCCTGGAGACATGACTGATGAACAAAGAAAATGTTATTTTAGAGCCAGGAATGTCTACATTGTTCATTCTGGACCTTATTTTGAAATTGTCATATTTTTTAATTTTCGTGAAATTGGCCAAATTGCAAATTTCTGACCACATTATTGGGAAACTAGTTCATATTTCTTTGCATTGTTTGGTGTTTTTTTGTATTTGTATAAATAAGATTAGTGGTAACAGCCAACCAAAAAGAAAATTGGTTGGAAAAAATTTGTTTGATATTCGAACAGATTGGCGCTTGAACAGCCTTCTGGAATAAATTAAGTTTGAGTACAGAGGTTCCACTGTATTCTTGTAAGCAGTTCATTACTGCTGCAGCTTGTTTATCTAACCATGTTGGAGGACCAGTACCTGGATTGACTGTGCTTCTAATTTTCTGACTGATGACCACAGTATGGTTATAGATGGCAAAATAAAACTGGTAAACTGTAACTAAAACCCTTTATGTTCTGAATCTAACCCTCTTTTAATCAGTGCTTTCAACTGGTTTTGTCTTTACCAGTATTTTCTAGGACTGGAAAGCCTTCAAAATACCATGGGTCTATTATATTCCTTATCAAAGAGAATTATTCTGTATTTTGTCATTTGAGAATTATCTGATTCATAATATGCCTGAAAAAGTTATTTTCATTACAGGTATTTGATGAGTTTGAAATGGAGCCTCACCAAGAATGTACATATGATCACATAGCATTATACGATGGAACTACCTCAGAAGCGGGCTTTCTCGGCCGATACTGTGGAGCTAAAGTTCCACACCCGATTGTTGCTTTCAACAATCAAATGTTCATGGTATTTAAGTCAGATTCTTCTGTTCAGCGGAAAGGATTTCGGGCTCGACACACCACAGGTCAGGACTGAAACTTAAATGTCCACCAGTTTCTTATTTTTAATGGTTTAGTTAAAGACTTGCTGTGATGTATGATAAGAATATAGTACAGTGGAAGATGAATTGGAAACAAAAGTAAAATATTTAGCAGAATGACAAGTTTCTATGAAGGTATGAGGATAAAAAAATAGTGTCATATTCCTTAGTCAGTTAAGTTAGTGTGGAAGCAAAAATTGTGACCTGTAGACTCGTGTATGTGGAAAGATGCCGGTGGAAGGGAAAATCAGCTAATGCAATGTAAAATAAAATTTGTCTGATATTAGGGATAAAAGGGGATAAAAGAGAGTGCAAAAATTATAGGGGGATAAGTCTGTTGAGTGTACCTGGTAAAGTGTATGGTAGAGTTATAATTGAAAGAATTAAGAGTAAGACGGAGAATAGGATAGCAGATGAACAAGGAGGCTTTAGGAAAGGTAGGGGGTGTGTGGACCAGGTGTTTACGTGAAACATATAAGTGAACAGTTTTTTTAGATAAGGGCTAAAGAGGTCTTTGTGGCATTTATGGATTTGGAAAAGGCGTTTTGACAGGGTGGATAGGGGGGCATGTGGCAGATGTGCAATGTGTATGGTGTAGGAGGTAGGTTACTTTAAAGCAGTGAAGAGTTTTTACGAGGTAGTGAGGCTCAAGTTAGAGTTTTGTAGAAAAAGGGAAATTTTTTCCCAGTAAAAATAGGCCTTAGACAAGGATGTGTGATGTCACCGTGGTTGTTTAATATATTTATAGATGGGGGTTTTAAGAGAAGTAAATGCGAGGGTCTTGGCAAGAGGCGTGGAGTTAAAAGATAAAGAATCACACACGGGGTGGGAGTTGTCACAGCTGCTCTTTGCTGATGACACTGTGCTCTTGGGAGATTCTGAAGAGAAGCTGCAGAGATTGGTGGATGAATTTGGTAGGGTGTGCAAAAGAAGAAATTAAAGGTGAATACAGGAAAGAGTAAGGTTATGAGGATAACAAAAAGATTAGGTGATGAAAGATTGAATATCAGATTGGAGAGAGAGAGTATGGAGGAGGTGAACGTATTCAGATATTTGGGAGTGGACGTGTCAGCGGATGGGTCTATGAAAGATGAGGTGAATCATAGAATTGATGAGGGAAAAAGAGTGAGTGGTGCACTTAGGAGTCTGTGGAGACAGAGAACTTTGTCCTTGGAGGCAAAGAGGGGAATGTATGAGAGTATAGTTTTACCAACGCTCTTATATGGGTGTGAAGCATGGGTGATGAATGTTGCAGCGAGGAGAAGGCTGGAGGCAGTGGAGATGTCATGTCTGAGGGCAATGTGTGGTGTGAATATAATGCAGAGAATTCGTAGTTTGGAAGTTAGGAGGAGGTGCGGGATTACCAAAACTGTTGTCCAGAGGGCTGAGGAAGGGTTGTTGAGGTGGTTCGGACATGTAGAGAGAATGGAGCGAAACAGAATAACTTCAAGAGTGTATCAGTCTGTAGTGGAAGGAAGGCGGGGTAGGGGTCGGCCTAGGAAGGGTTGGAGGGAGGGGGTAAAGGAGGTTTTGTGTGCGAGGGGCTTGGACTTCCAGCAGGCATGCGTGAGCGTGTTTGATAGGAGTGAATGGAGACAAATGGTTTTTAATACTTGATGTGCTGTTGGAGTGTGAGCAAAGTAACATTTATGAAGGGATTCAGGGAAACCGGCAGGCCGGACTTGAGTCCTGGAGATGGGAAGTACAGTGCCTGCACTCTGAAGGAGGGGTGTTAATGTTGCAGTTTAAAAACTGTAGTGTAAAGCACCCTTCTGGCAAGACAGTGATGGAGTGAATGATGGTGAAAGTTTTTCTTTTTCGGGCCACCCTGCCTTGGTGGGAATCGGCCAGTGTGATGATAAAATAAAAATAATAATTAGTAGTATATATACAGTGGACCCCCGGTTTACGATCAGCTCCCAATGCAACCAATTATGTAAGTGTATTTATGTAAGTGCGTTTGTATGTGTATGTTTGGGGGTCTGAAATGGACTAATCTAATTCACAATATTCCTTATGGGAACAAATTCGGTCAGTACTGGCACCTGAACATACTTCTGGAATGAAATAATATCGTAAACCGGGGATCCACTGGATATATATTTCTAAGTAGTAGGTCGGTAGACAGCAACTGCCCAGGGAGGTACTACCGTCCTGCCAAGTGAGTGTAAAACTGAAGCCTGTAATTGTTTTACAAGATGGTAGAATTGCTGGTGTCTTTTTTTTTCTGTCTCATACACATGCACGATTTCAGGTACGTCTTGCTACTTCTACTTACACTTAGGTCACACTACACATACATGTACAAGCATATATATACACACACCCCTTTGGGTTTTCTTCTATTTTTCTTTCTAGTTCTTGTTCTTGTTTATTTCCTCTTACCTCCATGGGGAAGTGGAACAGAATTCTTCCTCCGTAAGCCATGCGTGTTGTAAGAGGCGACTAAAATGCCAGGAGCAAGGGGCTAGTAACCCCTTCTCCTGTATATATTACTAAATGTAAAAGGAGAAACTTTTGTTTTTCCTTTTGGGCCACCCCGCCTCGGTGGGATACTGCCGGTGTGTTGAAAGAAAGAAAAGATATATATATTTTGTTTTAAACAAGTTGGCCGTCTCCTGCTGAGGCAGGGTGACCCAAAAAGAAAATACTTCCATCATCATTCAACACTTTCACCTCACTCACACAGAGGTGCTCAGAATACAACAGCTTAGAAGCATATACATATAAAGATAAACAACATATCCCTCCAAACTGCTAATATCCCAAACCCCTCCTTTAAAGTGCAGGCATTGTACTTCCCATTTCCAGGACTCAAGTTCGCCTATATAAAAAAACCGGTTTCCCTGAATCCCTTCACTAAATATTACCCTCCTCACACTCCAACAGATCACCAGGTCCCAAATACCATTCGTCTCCATTCACTCCTATCTAACACGCTCACACACGCTTGCTGGAAGTCGAAGCTCCTCACCCACAAAACCTCCTTTACTTCCCCCAAACCCTTTTTTTGAGGAGACCCCTACCCTCCCCTCCTTCCACTACAGATTTATACGCTCTCCATGTCATTCTACTTTGATCTTCTCTTAAATGACCAAATCACCTCAACAACCCTCTTAAACCCCTCTAAATATTACTTTTATTAACTCCACACCTTCTCCTAATTTCCACACCCCAAAATTTTCTGCATAATACTTATACCACACAGGGCCCCTTTTAGACAGGACATCTCCACTGCCTCCAACCGTCTCCTCGCTGCATTTACAACCAAGCTTCTCACCCATATAAGAGTTTTTTGTCTCCACATATCCTTAATGCACCACTCACCTTTTTTCCTTCATCAATTCTATGTTTAAACCTCATCTTCATAAATCCTTTCCGCTGACATGTAAAACCCCCAAATATCTGAAACCATTCACTTCTTCTATACTCCTCCTCCCCAAATTTTTGATGTCCAGTTTTTTTTTTTATCTAAATCATTTGATACCCTCATCACCTTTCTCTTTTCTATGTTTACTTTCAACTTTCTACCTTTACACACACTCCCAAACTCGTCCACCAACCTTTGAAATTTTTCTCTCTAGAATCTCCCATAAGCATAGTATCAGCAAAAGTAACTGTGTCTATTCCCATTTTGTATTCGATTCCCCATAATTTAATCTCACCCCCCTCCCAAACACCCTAGCATTTACTTCTTTTACAACTCCATCTATAAATATATTAACCCTTTCAGGGTCCGTCCCATAGATCTACGGCTCTACGTTCAGGGTCCAAACCGTAGATCTACGCCTTGAGCTCAGCTCACTCTGATAAGCTGTGAGTGGTACATTTGGGCCTAGATATGAGAGAATACATCTATGTAGTATGTGTGCACCACATAAAACAAATCCTGCAGCACACAGTGAGTAATGGGAGAAAAAAAACTGAGATCATGATTTTCGATTAAAACAGCGACTTTGCAGTGTTTTTTTTTTGTATGTTTTTATTTGTGATTTCCTGGTCTCATTTGATAGAATGGAAGACATATTACAGAAATGGAGATGATTTTGATTGGTTTTAGTACTGGAAAGGGCTTGAAACTGAGCTCAAAGTAGCAGAAATGTTAAATTTTTTGTCGATGTTTAAGAGTAAACAAACAACCTCACACATCTAATACACGCAGCTGCGGGTCTAATATACATTCAAAAATGTGATGATGATATTTTTTACAATTAAAAATATTGCATAACAGTAAATCTTCTATTTTTTGGTTTGAATAAAATTCATTATGTGAATTAAAACTCAAAATGGAATTCATTTGTAAAGCCTGAAAACATAACTAATGAGCAGGGGAAAATTTATTACTTTGTGCCAGGAATGCCTGCATTGTTTATTCTGGCCATATTTTGAAAAAAATTGGAATATTTTGAACTTTATGTTAAATTGGCCAAATTCCCAAATTTTCCCGATCACTTTATTTTGTAGTTGAAACAGTTGACTTGGCGATTTTTTTGTGTCAATCGATAGAAAAGAAGTAATACTAGTGAATGCTAAGAATTTGGTCGACTGGAATAATGTAATTGGCTTAAAATGGGAGTCAAAGTCGGAAAAATCGTTTGATTAGTAAATAATTGCTGACACATCAAAATTCGCGAGAGCATAATTTCTTCAATTTTCCATCAAATTTCGTACTTTTTGTTTTATTACCTTCAGAAAAAGTTTCTCTACCATTTAATAAGAAAAATAATTTTTTTTTTTTTTTTTTTTTTTTTTTTTTTTTTTTTTTTTTTTTTTTTAAATTCTTGGACACTGGTTGCCTCTTGAAATTTGGCCTCTGGACCCTGAAAGGGTTAAACAACCAGGGTTTGACATTACACATCCCTGTCTAAGACCAACTTTTACTGGGAAGTAGTCTCCCTCTCTTCCACACACCCTAACCTGAGCCTCACTATCCTCATAAAAACTCTTTATAGTATTTGTAACTTACCACCTATTATATATACTTG